CAGCCCGCCGCCTGCCCTCTCCCTCCGTCCGGCACAGCAAACTCACAGATGTGTCAGGGACTGGGGAAGGTAAGAAAACAGTGCCCTGGGCAGAGCCTTCAGGGGCTCAGCACAGTTAGCTCCTTCCTCTCCCGCTCCTATTACGGTGCAAACCGCGCTGCTTCCCGCCCTCCTCCACCCCCAGGCCTTTGTCATTTGTCCTACGGCCTAACGGCTCCCATCTCTACCCTATCCCACACACTTCGGGACCACAGCTTCCTAAATCTCAGCCAGAACGTTCTTTTACAAGGACACTCACCAACCTTGAAAGGCAAGGTACCCTGAGGCAAAGAAATAAAATTAGCGTAGTTGAACAGCATGAGAGTGTGGCGCCACCTAGTGGTACTGTGGAGCAAGGGTCCAGGCCCTGACATTTTCAAACAATCAATAACTCATTATTAACCATAATCACAACCTGGTGTTTACTTTTGGAGAAATGTTCAGTAGCAAGGGATGCACATGCACTTTTCTGCATGTTTCAGATGGCTGCGATCCTAAATGCCACTGTGACTATTAAACAGTGTCCTGCCCACGAGCAAACAGGAGGGAGCAGGGACTGATTGTGTATCTTTTTCATCCAAGCTGCTCACCAAAAAAACAAAGCATCCGTTGAAGCCACTGACCTTTCACTAACAGCTGGAAGGAAAATGCTTGATAAATAATAAAGCGGCCACTACTGGATGTTGCTTAGAACCATCTTTTAATTAAAAGAACTGAGCCACTGGAAGATCAGGTGACTGACATTTAAGTTCCAGTCCAGGAAATGCATCCATCGAGGGTAAAACCAGACCCGAAAGGTAATTTCATTGTCAGCCAGCAGTCAACAAAAATCCCCTCTGTAATCCGCACAGATGGAGGGGCCGGTGGCGGCTACGTTTTTGTAGGGGACATAACATTTAACTTCCCGCCTCCTTTGCCTTCCCCTAGCAACCTCTTCATTTCTGAGCTGCAGCAATAACCACTTGTCTGGCTCAGCATCTCCAGTGCTGGGCTCATCCAATCAGAGACTCGCCTGCCACAATGAGCGCTACCCTAGGAGTGACAAGCAAGCCATTTCCTGTCTTTTCCACCGGAGAGCAGGCGCCCTCCCTCCACCAGCCAAGGTGACCTCGACCAAGTTGCTCACTGCACCTGCTCGAGTGTCCCCTCACTCAGCACCCGCGAAGGCTCAAATACTTTCCTAACCAGTCACTCCTCCACCTTTTGGCTGTTCTGAAATGGAGCTCAGGAGCACAGAGACCAGGAACAATGTACAATGATAACCTCACCTCCCACCCCCTTACACAACTCGCCTTTTCTTGTTCCTAGCTCTGCAGTTAGCTTGCTTTAACTATCAGAGCCATATTGTGTCACATATCCCTAACTCCTCTTAGTCGGGAAAACTACCAGCCCAATTCTGAGTCAGGCTTGGTCAGAGCTGAGAGCCGAGAAGGATGGGTGAGGCCCCACACTCTCAGGTGCCTCATCTGGATCCCCAAGAGCAGAGGTAGGCACCAGTGCTAGCCTCAGAGAAAATCTTATCATCCCACTGGAATGGCTTTGTATTAAAAAAAAAAAATCCACTGAACGTTTTTAAGTGGCGAGTCATTATTTATTTAGAGAAAGGTATCATTTTAACAAAATTAGGAAGCCCTTGGAGGCACAGATTTTTCTGTAATAACATTTTCATTATCTGAGAACATGACACTAAGTATTACACAAAATTACAAAAAGAATTGGGCTGGCCTTTTTAAGGGCACACAAATCACGGATCAGCAAAAGAAAAAAGAACTCTATAAAACCTGGTGAACCTGGGACCACTTAAATAGGCCTTGCTATTTAGGTGATGGAAAATGTGGAACCTGATTTCTTTAAAATTTTATTTATTTTTAGAGAGAGGTGAAGAAAGAGAGGGAAACACCCATGTGAGAGATATCAATCGGCTGCCTCTAGTATGTGCCCCAATGGGGGGCCAAACCTGCGACCCAGGCATGTGCCCTGACCAGGAATGCAACCGAGCCACACTGGTGGTGAGCGGGGGCGGGGGCACACTGGTTCCTTTGCTGGCGTTCTTGTTCCTCCAGTCCTGTAACTGAGAGCATTCACCCCGCTCCGCCCCAGCATCTGTGCCTCCCCTCTCCCCTCGGACAGCTCATGTTTTCCCTGGCTCCAGTGCTTCCTCCCCTTCTCCCAGACACCAGACCGGTACCTGTCTGCCACTTGAACGTGGCACCATCACCTCTTCCTGTTTGCCGGTGATGCCATCGCTCTGCTCACTCGGGCTTGTAACCTTGGACATGGTCTCCATTTGGAACGGCTACTTGGAGAACAAAGTTTCTCTGTTTCGTCTCCCACTCGCTCCCTCACTACCCACTCCCCCAACCACATTATTTCACACCCGGGCAAATCTTCCTTTGACCTGACACTGCTTCTCACGACATTCCTGATACCCAGCTGAACTCCTCTGTGTAGTTACAGAGGCCCCGTGAGCAAGTCCTCCCTCACCTGTTCAAACCCGAGGCTCTCCTGAAAGGCTGCGCTCAGTGCTTCAGTGGGTACAAACGAGAATCCCCACCTCGTTCACACTGTGAAGTGGGGGGAACAGTCACCTCCCTGGAACGGGAGACCAGGGAAAATCAGGCAGGAGCACAACCGGTGGTGGGCCTGCTGTGCTGACAGCAGTGAAGGGCGTGAAGCCAGAAAGGGCTCGATTAAGGGGCTTGAGATTTGATGTGAACATTAGGTAAAAATCCTGAGCAGAGGTACCATTTGAAAAGGACAGTGAAGGTAAGGTTTCTGGTGGCAGTGGTGGGAGGGGTTGGGGGGTCCTCTTGGCAGAAGCAGTAGCACGGGCACTTCAGACCCCAAGTCCCACCACCCACCCTTCAAGGCTCTCCTCGAAGAGTTCCTGCACTAGTCCACAGCTGATCTCTCTCCCTGACCCTCTGCTCATCTTTTTTTAAAAAAAAATATTTTATTTACTTACTTTTAGAGAAGAGGGGAAGGGAGAGAAACATCAATGTGTGGTTGCCTCTTGCACACCCCTTACTGGGGACCTGGCCTGCATCCCAGGCATGTGCCCTGACTGGGAATCAAACCAGCGACCCTCTGGTTCCCAGGCCGGTGCTCAATCCACTGAGCCACACCAGCCAGGGCTCAGCTTATTATTTTGAAAGTCGCTCTGGTCTTCCCCATTGGATTTTAAGCTCCCTTGGCAAGGATGAGGTCCCACTTCCACTCTTTCCAAACAGGGTCCAAGACCTGGTGGCTTCTGCCTACACCGCCAGTGGAAAGAGTTTTGATTTCCCCAAAGAAGCTTCACACTTTTCACTAGGCTCTGATTACTGAGATTCTCCCTAAAAGTTTGCTGTAAGGGAGTCTCCCCGCTTCTACCAGGCTTAGGCCTTCCTCATGAGAGTCCCCGTCTGGTTTAACAAGACGGGAATGTACTGGTGAGGGTGTGGGGGAACAGGCACTCTTATACACTGCTGGTGGGCGGGTGAGTTATCGGTTTTCACGGAGGACAGTAACTGAGGATGAGCTGTTCCTTGACCCAGCAATACCACTGCTGAGAACACACCCCATAGCTATACTGGCCTATTTACCGCACAAAAAAACACAGAAACAACACTTTTGTCAGTGGGGCACCGACAGTCACTGTGCACCCCCACTAAGATCTCTGAGACACAGCAGGTGGAGAAACAAGGTACAGAACAGTATGCAGTGTCCCCATGGACATGCCTAAGAGTTCTGGAAAGGAAATGGTGGTAGCAGTGGCCTTAGTGGAAGAAAAATGGGGGCTGGGGGACGGGGTGGACAGGAGGCTGGCTTCTCATCTTTAAATTCTGAACCATGTGCGCATATAATTTCCTTAACAATTATGCAACAAATAGCTTTAAAAAAAAATCTCGTCATCGCTATGGGAAAGAAACTGCCCTTTAAACCCCAGAAGCGAAGTTCAGAGAAGTAACGAGGGACTGTGACTGTTCCTCTGAGGACACAACCGTCCCTCCACCTGGCCGCCTCCCAGGCCTGGCCTGCACTCGGAATCCAGTGGTTGCCTAATGCTGTTGGATGGGTGAACGTGCTCCCCCTCTGACAGTAAAGCACCCCCGAACAAGAGGAAATGCAAAGAGCGATGAAGGTGTGTGTGGGGCAGGGGGGTGTGGAGAGGTACCACAGCTGAAAACTGCTTTTGTCTCATGTACTCCTTCACCTTTATCACCTGAGGACCCACATGCAAGGACATGCACAGGCTGTGAGGCGGGCGCCCCACCGAGTCCACTGGAGACTGAACAACCGTGCGTGAGGAACACTGGGTAGAAAAGCTACACAGGTGTTAAACCAAGGAATTTTTGAAGCAGCTTATTACTAGTAGTGGAAAACCACTGGCTTGACCACAAACACAAAGGTGAAAATCTCCTTCAGAGGGGTATTTCATTTATTCAATAAAAGCAGGGCAGTTGGTGAAGACTTGTGAGCACACCTCGCACCAGGGGCAGGTGGGTGCTGGTGGAGAACATCGTCTAAACGGGCTGCCCCCTACTGGCAACCCAAGAGCTGTCTCCTGGATTCAGGGTTTAGCTGGATGCAATCATTCATTCACTCAGCAAAGCCTGCACGTGCAGGCCCACGCTAACTATCTCCGGCACAGCCAGTGCATGAGGTTAAAGGGATAGCTCTGGCCTTTGGCTGTGTTCAGTGACAGGTCCTTGCTCTTACCGCCAAGCACAAGGCAGCTTGGCCTCTCGCGTTGGAGGTATTTCTACAGCAAAAAGGACATAGATTATCTGCACGTATCAGATTATGTGACATGTTAAGAGAAAGTCTGATGGATCCTGAGAAGAGAAACACGCCTGAGAATCCAACGTAGCCAGCCCACACGTGAACACCAAAATCCAAGCAAACCTACTCAAGATAAGTCCCATTCAATCAATACTTGTAAAGGTTTCCTCGTGCTATTTACAGTGTAAAAGCAAATGTACTTTACAAGCAGCTAGGGAATTCTTTATTTGACACTGCCCTAACATGAAAGTTCACACAACTGCTTCTTTCAAACCGTGACCCGGAGCCGTGTGACAACCTGGAAACAGGAACTAGAAGAAGGAGAGCACAATGCCTGGGAGATCTGGAAACATGTACAGAGCTCGGCTGTTCCAGGCTGTTCAACACCCTCTAGTGAGCACCGTCCGGACGTCCGTGTGCGCGGTGTTCAAGTCCTTCAGGGAGGTGAGAGGCCTTTCGACGGCTCTTCAGGTGCCTCCGAATGCTGCTCCCGTGCACCTTCTTTCAGGAGCTGTTTTTTTTCCAATTCAGTTTGGGGTTTGACACCCACGGGTTCAGGTTTCCAGGAGCCATGACTCTCCTCCTGTTGCTGAAAAGACCAGACATAAGTGTGTCACACAGATGTCACACTTGCACTTGAGTAGCTGGCTGAAGCTACGTGACTCAGGCACCTTCTATCACTGAGTCAAAAATTTAGCATTAACATTTTCGATCAAATTCCACTGTTAACAACCAACGTGATGAAAAATCTCCACAGAGGCACAATTTCAAAAACCCAGTACCAGCTCACTGGCTCCAAGTCTCAGTCACAGCCACAGAGCTGCGGCGTGTCCCGTCTCAGAGGACTTGCCTTGGGGTTTCCCTAAGGAACGCGAGCCAAGGCTGGGGAAAAGAAAACCAAGCCTTCTGACAAATACCGCCTCCCAGCCCCTGAAAAAGATCACGTGTAACCTCTGACAAATAGACAACTAATCCTAACAACAATTTTGAGAATAAAAATACTCACAGCCCTTGCTTCTCCTACTCGTCTTAAAATGACTCCTTCTGCCAATAAAGCCTTCCCTGTTTCCACAAATAATTTCTCTTCGTCTGTCTCTCCAAGTTTCTGCAGCTCCATGTACTTCTCCACGAACCTGGAATGCCAACAAGCAGTTGAGTCTTAGGTCGGTGTGCTGAGAGTTGTCAAGACCCGCAGTTACACGGCGTGACGCGGTCCCCGCAGACCTTCCCACAGCAACACGGTTTCCTCTAGCGCCGTGCAACACAGCTCCTCGGACTGAGGGCTAAATTCTTCAAAATGAAAAAATAAAGTCACCCAGAGTTTATAAAATAACTTACCGTTGACAGGTGGACTTGAAGTTTGGATTGAATAGATCGAAGGCTTTCTGACCAGATCCATAGGCTGAATAAAATTTCCTGGGAAATACAAACAACACAAAATAAATCTCCAGTTATAGATCATGGCCAAGAACAGACGGAGAGGTAACTGCTAGGCCCTGAGGAGTTAGGTAGCACATGACCTGCGTAGTCTGAGCCTGATAGTTTTGGGGTTTTGTCTTTAAACGAGTAAAGCATAAGTAATGCATGCACACAGTAAATCCGCCAAATGTTACACAAAGGTATCCAGTGAAAAGTAACACTCCTCCTCACCTCTACACCCCAATTCTCCAGCTGCCTTCCCAAGAGGTAACACTAACCAGTTTCTCGTACATCCACCCAGGACTGGCCTCCTGACACGCAAGCATATAGGCATCTATCACTCCGTCTGCAGCCGCACTGTTTAACCTCAAGGACAGTAAGCATGATTCTACATCTTGCCTTTTTTCACTTGACATTTCTTAGAGATCATTTCAAATCAGCGCATGCAGACTGTTTGCAGTCCTTTGCTGCTCTAAGCAGTACTACAGTGATTACCTTTATCTCTATTTGTCAGTGCACTGTGCAAATAAGTCTGTGGAATGAATTCATAAAAATGGTATTACTGGGTCAAGGAATGTGTACTTGCAACTTGGCCTGCCCAGTTGCCAAAATGCTTTCCAAAGCAGTTGTGCCAATTTCCACTCACCAGCAATGTATGACAGTGCCTGTCTGCCCATACCCTGACCAAATTACATCTGCCAACTTCATGGTCTTTGTCAACTTGATAGCTGAAAAATTATTACTCATGGTAGTCTTGGTTTTTCTCCCGAGGCAGACTGAGCATCTTATCATGTTTAAAAGCAAACTGAATTTCCTTTTCTGTGACCTGTCTGTTTGCTGATTTTTCCACTTGGTGGTCTTCTTCTTATTGACTTATGAGCAAACTTGATAGCAGTAAAAAAAGGATATTGGCCCTTTGTCATGTGTGCTGCAAATTTTTTTCCCAGTATGTTGGCTGAGTTTTGATTTTGCTTATGGTACTTTTTTTGTGCAGAAAATTTTAATATTTTCCTTTCTAGTCCTGGATTTTATGTCACTCTTAAAAAGTCCTCTATCACTCAGGCTATACTTAAAGCTCTCCCATGTTTTTTTCCAGTACTTTTATGATTTTGCTTTTTTATACTTAAGTGTTGATACATCTACAATGTATTTTGTTGTTATAAGCTCTCAAAAATACAAAACGCAACCCCCCAAAAGCAGCCACAAAGATAAATGTTCAAAAAATGGTTTAAATAAAAGGTGTTGTTATTCTGACGTTGCCAGCAATAAAAGAGACCTATACAATATTCCACGCTGTCCAGTGTACTGTAACCCAGTTCCAACTGCCATCTGCACAGAAGTACAAATGATTTTAATGTATACACGAGCCTGGAAAGCATGCTGACTACGTGCATCCAATGGACCTGAGCAAGTCTTAAAAAAAGTACTTAATGCCCCAAAGTTCCTGTGTCCTACCTGAAAATGTCCACGTAGAGCAGAAACCTATTTGTTTTCCTACCTCAAAGGAGTGTTAAGGGGTGGGTGCTATCCTCAAGTGAAAGGTGCCTGGACCTCAACAGAGAACACAATAACTTTATAGATTCTGTTTTCTTAGCCCAGGAATAAGGGTAAGGATAATGGATATGTGTTAACTTCAATTAGGCACAGTCTCTGAGCTTAACATTTAAGACAAAAGAAACCATACAAATTCCAGGTACTAAAACTAACTGACAAGTATTTGGGGGACAGGGCTTTGTCAGTGAACTTCCAGTTTGTTGACTTCCTTAAGCCTCAGAGACCACATGGCTAACAGGGAGAGAAGGGTACCTACCTTACAAGGTTAGAGTAAACCCTAAATGAGATAATGTTGCTTTAGTGCTTAGCGTCGTGCCTGCTGCAAAACACGTGCAGAAACATGTAGCTGTAATTGCTGGGCTCCATGTTCTACTTCTCAGAACTAACTTTCTCTCACATGGGGGAGGGCACTGATTCCCTAATTTTGCTAAGATTACAAGCCCTTCTCCATAGGTCAAGCCCTGACTCGATTCCTATTTAAGTATCAGACTGCTAGCTAAACCCTCCCTTCCACGGTTCCGCCGCGTCCTATCGCAACTTACGCTCGAATCACATCCTCGTGGTAGAAGATGTCCTGGATGGAAGCCTTGGCTTTGCCGTATCGCAAGCGGGGCCTTCGGAAGACCGGCTCCCTCAGCGGGGGAAAGGCCTTATATATGTCAAACCAGAGGGGCTTCTCCTTCAATACCCCAGCCCGCATGAGGTCCCGAGTCCTTAAGGAAGGAAAAGAAGGAAAGTCAGTCGGTCACAACTGCCTAAGCCCTGAATCAGTCTAACCACGGTCTGGGGCATCAGCGGGATCATGGAGACCTCAGCACAGAACTGGAAGGAAGGCATTGCAGGGGTGCTCCACACACACACACACACACACACACACACACACACACACACACACACACACACAGGTGAGATGGTTCCATATTCCAAACCAAGCTACCCAAGCTCCAGGGGTTAAGTCCTTCTACCTCTGTGCGTGCGTCCCACTCCCTCGCCCCATTCCCGCCACGCCAAATGCAAAGGTCCAGCCAGGCCCATCAGCCTCCTCCTCCCTTCCTCTCTCTAGACCTCCAAGCGGGGCAGGTAACGGTGCAATCTTGAGCGTGAAAGACTAGAAACTCCAGGAGCGACGTCGTCCAGCACCACTCCGGAGCAGGACAGAGCACAGGTGGGGCTCCCCCGCCACCCCCCGGCTCCGACACCGCACCCTGGAGAAGACCTCCCGATGCTCGCACCCACTCAGGCTGAGAGCCCCCGCCCGGGGGAGTCACCCTCGGCCAGCCACGGCTCGGAGCACGCACCGCGAGAAAATGCTGCCCACGGTTTCCAGCCGGCTCCCCGCCATGGCCGAGCCTCTCTCCCGGCTCGGTTAGTAGCTGCCGGAAGCGGAAGCGCCAGCGGCAGACGAAGGAGGCGTGAGTGGCTAGCCGAGCGGAGGAACCTCGGGTTTACACCACAGCCCCGAAGGGTAACCGGAGCCAGGCAGAAGCAAAGGATAGACCGAACTAGCGCACTTCTAGGCTACTTGCCAGCTTCAGACAGGAGCACTCGATAGCCGAGCCGAAAGGCGGGGAGCGAGCCAAAGCCGGGCAAATGCAAAGTACGATCGTTCGTTCGCTGGGAGAGATTAATTTTAATGGTTGCTTTACCATTTCTGGCCTCACTGAGCTAACTCCAGCGCGCTGGTGGGGCCGCACGGTGGGACGATGACGAGGAGGGAGGTGAAGGCACAGCCCACGTCCTGGGAGAGCCAACTAGAAGGTCACCAGCACTAGGCCCCAACTGCGCTTTATCTTGGTTGGAGTCATGGACTACGCAGAAGGAAACTGAGGCCGGGGAGGTGCAAGTTACCTGCCCAGAGTCACACTGGTGCCCTAGCCGCGGTCCTCTGCCTCCTGCTCTTTGGCCTCTCCTTACCCCCCACTAAACCCTTGAGCCTTGGAGCGCCACCTGCATCGTTCTAATAGGGATGTTGTGGACAATTAGTGGTTTCTCCCCAGGAGGCCTAGCTGCCTAACTCCTCCTTGGAACTTGGAAAGTTAGGAGTGTCCGGAACAAACAAATTCCGAGGAAAAAAAACTAAAAATCTGAGGAAAGTAAACTCTCAGGGTTACCTTTTGGCTTAATAATCATACTTTGGGTAAAGTACCTCCACAGCAATTAAAGCACAATTTCAAGGGAATATTTGTGCGAGGGTCATCATTGCAGCATTGTTTGTGGTGGCAAAACAATAATATGGCTAATGGGAAATGGCCGGGAAATTATGGTACATATATCCTATGCAGCTATTTAAGTAAATGAGTTAGTTCCCTATATATTTACCTAGATGAATACCCATGACATAGTTAAATGAAAAAGGGAGTTTCGGAGAAACGCCTTTAGCGAGACCCTAACATGTTGAAGGAAAAAAGAAAACACGTTACAGTATGTGTGTTTGTGTGAGGATAGAAACTTGTGGAAGGACACATTGGCTGTAAACATTAGCTCTCTCCAGTAAAATTGCTGAAGGGTGAGGGGGAATTTTTTCTTTATCCCTCAGAGTTTGACCTGTAAAGAGTTTGTATGCGTATTTGAACTTTTTAATCCAGTGGAACCTTTTGAATCATGTACACACACAATGTCTCCCGGGAGCCTATTATCTTTGTCAGCAAGAAAGAGCATCTGGTTGTCCCAGAGCCCTCTTGCTCCGGGGGAGGCTGGAGAGGAGGAGGAAAGGAATGTGTGATGAGCAGTTACTGCTTGTTTGTGTTATCTCACTATCCACACACCTACCCACAGGTGGCTATTATTATCTTCTTATAGATTAGAAAGTGAGGCCTCAGGGAGTTAAGTAACTTGTCTGATAGGTAACTGACACAGCCAGGCTTCCTGCCCAGCCTGGGCCCTTTCCAGTTCTCCATAGTGACTCCTTAGCTATGCTTCAAGCTGGAGACTGGGGAATGGAGGAGGTCAGACAACTCTGGCCCCAGGAGCAGAGGACAGGGTGATTTGAGGCCAGGGCTAAACTGAGAGGTGGGTGTCACTGCTGCCGCAGAGCCCTTTGGAGCAGAAAAGAGAGCAGAGCTCTGGCTGCTGGGCTAACCTAAGTGTGGAGGCTCTCCCAGCCGTAGGAAGGTCGAGAAGACTTTGCTGGAGGGAGAACAAACACACTCCCAGCTAAATATAGTCTCCGCAGGCCTCATAACAAGTTTCTAATTCTGTCCAAGTCAGAGCTAGTTGTCAGCCCAGACCACAAACACACTTCCTTTCTCCCACTCAGGCCTGCCCCCATAGGCCACTGCAGTTACGGCTGCTAAGGACATAGAAAAGTTTATTCCAAGTTCAGGGAGAGAACGCGAAGATTCAACCCCTCAATAGGGCAGGAATGGCAAGACAAGAATTTTCTCTCTAGATCCTCGTGGAGAAGTCCCTTCCTCTTCTGAGCCTTTCGACTTTCCCTTCCAGCATCTTATCTAATCTTTCAGTGACCAATGAGCAGAATGTTGGCAGGTAGAGTAAGGGGACCATGGAGATAAAGTGGCAGGCTGGATTGGGAACCCTCTGAACCTGCAACAGGAAGTGTGCACCCCAGGGCGTGTTCATTCATAATATAGGAGGAAGCTGTCGGGCTTGCTTTCTTCTCACCACAGCCTGTCAAGGCTTCAAGGGACTGACGCGCTCCTGCCATGCACCGCACCAGGAACCCGGAGTATCGCATTCCATCGTTCAACCACCGGATGCCATAGGTAATCTTCTGGCAATCTTACAGATGAGGAAAGAGAGCTGATAAACTCTCCAAAAGGCATGTTCCTTTCCCCATCCACTCAGCCCCAATTTAGTCCCACCACATCACACTGTGGATGTGCCCACCAATGGGGTCACTGTAGGTAATTTCCATAACTTTTCAAGCCTGTTTCCCCATATGTGAAAATGTGGATGGCAGTGTCAACTATCTTGTCTGCGTGGCTTGAGCAAGAGTAGAAGCGGTCATTCTCACAAAACGCTCATCGCAGCACGCATAGCAAGTCCTCATGATTAACAAACCCGATTGCTGTCAACGTCGCCACGGCTGTGGTGTCCCGTGAACCACAGATTTCCGCCTGGGACTGCATCATTTCGATGATATGTTATAGGTTGCCTTATTGTTTTATTTTCTTGTTAAGTGTTCCTCTCACTCCACAAACATTTAAGCATCTCCCTGACCCCGGGCTGAGTCCTAGAGAAGCTGACTCTCCAGTGGGTGAGACAGAGAGGCAAATTCATAACCGATAACTTACGTGCTGCAGAGCTCATTGGTTGTCAAGTTCGCTGAGGCTGCCAAAACAAAACATTACCAGCCAGGTGGGTGGCTTAAACGATAGAAGTTTATTTCCTCACAATGCTGGAGGCTGGAAGCCCAGACTAAGGCTTTGGCAGGTCAGTTTTTTTCTGCTGCCTGTCTCTAAAGACTCTGTCTCCAAATACATTCACATCCTGAGGTCCTGAGGTACTGAGGCTGGGACTTCAACATACAAATCCTGGAGGGACACCATTCAGCCCAAAACGTTGGGAAGTATTTGTGCTGAATAGTGTTTATTGGCCCATCTAGATATGCATGTACTCTGTGCCCCAGGAGGCTGCCTTGTACAGACTACACTGCCTGCCCCCCGCCCAGTTGGTACTCTGATGCGAGGCATTGGCAGGGCACTGGAAAGAAGGAGGAGAGTGAAGCAAGTCTCCGTTCCCCTGGCTGCCTCCCTGCACAGCCCAGGAGCGTAAAGTCCCAGGTCCCACCACGAGGCCTCTTCCCACAACTTTCACCAGGTTCCAGTCACTGTTCTTCCCTCATCCCGTCAGACTTAGACACAGCAAACTGTACCCCTCAGGTACTAGCTGTGGGGGGTAGGCCATCCCTTGTGGCTTCCCTCCCCTCTGCCCACATCTTTGTAAATAGCGCCCGGGAGTTGATCAGACGAAAAGTGGAAGGGCATCCCCAACAGCACAACAGCTTTGGTAAGTGGAAATCCCAGCATATTGATGAAGTCATTAATATTGCTACTCACCTTTGGCAGAAAGCCAGGAGCAGGGGAAATCAGCAGTTGCTTTAAAAGGAGAAAAGCAACAGTACAAGGAGCCGGGGGACGGAGACCAAGGAGAGAGGGGTTCGGGGAGGAGGCACTGCACCTCACCTCCAGGCTGTTTCTGTGTGCACACTCCGACAGGGTGAACATGTCCCCATGGGACCTGCTCCCCCCTCCCTCAGCTTATTGCTCTCACAATTTGGTGTTGTAACTCTGTTTACTTGTCTGAGTCTGTCTCACTGGGCCTCTCTGAGGGCAGGAACCAGGGCTCTTATCTCTGCCCGTCACACCCATCCTGGTGCGTGGCCCAGAGCTGGCTGTTAGAAAGAGTTTTCTAGTGAACAGCACGGATGAATAAAGCAAAGCTAGGACAAATGAGGGTACAGCCATCTCAGCTCCCCCTTGCTGCCTGCCTTCCCCAGATACATTCACAGGGAGGAAGCTGTGGCTGAGTGGCAATAACCCTCCACCCCACCATGCACCTGGTCATTTCCAGTTCCGGCTGTCCTCTGTGCCCCACTGACGCATAGATCCCTTTACAAACCGCTAGGCCTCAGTTTTGTCATCTGTAAGACGGGCATAACCATAGCACCCACCACATGGCCTTGTTGTGAGGCCTCAGTGGGTGAATAACCTGCTGAGTGTTTAGATTAGTGCCTGCTGGGTAGTAACTGCTCAATTAATAGGAGTGGTAATAACATTTCTGAACATTCCATGCTTAAGAGCAATAAAGCACACTTTTAAATTACACCTACAATTAAATGACACCTAGCAATTTGCAAGGCATTTTCACACAGCTGCCCGTTCATTTCTTCAGCAAACAGCAACTCAGCCCTGGAGGAAAATCAGAGTTCAGGCAGAGGAGAGAGAAGCACTGGATGCTTACACCCACCCTGGGAGGTCTGAATTGTTGTGGCTCCTTTTGTAGCCAAGGAAACAGGAGCCAGCTGGGCCTGGAGCAACACTCTGGCCTGTTATTACTGGAATCAATCTATTGAAGTTTTCCCAGCAGGGATGAGACCCTTGAAGGCAGACATTTCTGGGCTGGTATGGGCCCTTCTTTTCTTGTGGAAGGCACAGCAACTCAATCTTTAATGTGCACCTGAACCTCCTGGGATCCTTGGGAAATGCAGATTCTGACCCAGGAGGGCTGGAGTAAGGGCTGAAACTCTGCCTTTCTGACCAGCTTCCAGGTTGGTGTCGATGGCGACCACATCCACAGACCACACTATAAACAGCAAGGTCACAGCGAGGCAGGCCTGTGCTGAGCTTGTACTGGGCTCCACAGCTCCTTACATCAGAGTCCCTGGAATAATCCTTTTGACCTGATGAGAAAGGATGACCTTTTACTCTCTAAAATGACAAGGAGGGGAAATGCCGGTTGAGTGGGGCCTGACGCTTGTATAATTGTAGTGGCTCTTTTAAGAAAAAAAAATTACAAGAATGTCTTTGTTTTGAAAATTTCACAAACTCCAAGACATGTGACCAAAGTAAAGTCCCTTTGTTTGGCCTTAGGCCAAACAGGTAGTCAGCTCTTCCTTCTGGGAAAATGGTGTTTGACTGCCACTCCTGAGATAACCTGAGATAACCACCAGGTGGCAGTAGATTTGCACAGTGCTCGTCAACCCCCCCTCCCCTGCCCCATTCATCAGAAATTTCCAAGTCTTCCTCAAGCTGGCCAACAAACTAACCTATGCTGTGATATGGGCAAAAGGAGTTTATGTGCTTCTCTCTCAGAAGCATATTTGCCATTTAATGGGAATATTAACATTGTTTTTTAAACCAGATATAGAGTGCTAATAGACGAGTTCTAGGCATACTGTTGGATCGTGGACCACTATGGAGATATCTTTAAGCAGGTGGACCTTTCTACTCTCCACAAATTACATCTCTGCAGGAGTTCTAGCTCTTACCACCCGTTCCTCCCAATATAGTTTAGTGTTCAAGCACCAATTCTAGAGTTCAGCTGCCAGGGTTCAAATCCAGGTACCACCACTTACTAAGGGTGATGTTCAGTAAGGGCCTTAACATCTCTCTGGCTCAGTTTTCTGATCTGTCAAGTGGGAATAACAATACTGATTTTATGTCATCGTTGTGGGGACTCGGTAAAATAAGATGTAAAGCACCTCTGAAAAGTGACCAGCATATAGTCAGCACCCTTAACCATCTAGAATCCTCGCTATCCCCACACCTTGCCTGCCTTCTGCAAGCCAAGTTCTTCTCCTGTCCTTCCTCCAACCTCACCCCCCTATCAGGTGCTTCAAAGAACAGAGGGAGGTTTGAGACCCCAGCCTGGTGACAAGCAGACCAGTTCTTCTGGGCGCAGTGTTCTCCTGACTCCATGACTTCCTCTCAGGTTGGGGTTGAGCCCTGGGGAGAGCAAAGCATCCAAGTGGAGAGGGAAACTCGGCATTTTTGCAGGAGATAGATCCATATCACCTTGTGTGTACCAAGAGCCCGGGATTTGCAGATGAGCATGGTGTGTGAGGGCAGATGGCTGGGGTGGTCGTCCGGCCTGGCCCAACTCCTCCCTGGGATCTACAGACACTGCCCATCTGCACTCTTCTGCATTCCTGTTGGACGCAGTAAGCTTTTTTTGCCTTCTCTCCCCATGCCCCCCTCTCTGGTTCCAATCCCCGTCCATCCCATCTACATTAATAGGCAAAATGGTGCATGGTTCTCAAACTTTGTTGCGTATTCGAATCACGTGAGGTACTTTTACCATCTGATCCCCAGGCTAACTCCCAAACCAATTGAACTAGAATCTCTGGGAGTGGAATCCAAGCATCAGAGAACCAGTGTTGTAGAATAGTGTTTCTCAAGCCTTAACATCCATACGAGTCACCTGATGATTTTTTTTGTGAAAACGCACATTTTGGTTCAGTAGGGCTCAGGTAGAGTCCGAGCCCCAGATGATGCCGACACCGCTGGTCTGAAGACCAAACCTGGAGCAGCAAGGTTGTAGAACTATGCTCTTCAGGTGGGAGCTTGTATTCAGACCCCTCTGGAGGGCCTGTGAAAACACGGCCCTGGTTCAGGGCCAGGAGATCTGGAGGGGGGGCCAAGCACATGCATTCTAATAGGATCCCAGGCCACGTCAGGGCTGCCGGCCCGCAGAGCACACTCAGAGTGGCAGCAGTGCTGAGGAAGGAACACAGGTTTAGGACTCAGGGCGCCCTGGCCCTGTTTCCTGGCTTTGCAACTTGCTAGCTCTGTGATGTTGGGTAAGTTATTTAATCTTGCTGAACTATCATGACCTCGCCTGTAAAGTGTCCATTTATTGGGCAAGATTAATTGGGCTAGCATGAAACACCTAACTGACTGCTTAGTGCACGGGTTCTCAAATTTCACTGCAAACTTGAATTACCAGAAGAGTTTTAAAAGAAAACAAGCCATGGATGTTAATTTAATTGGTCTGGGGTACTGAGCATCAGGAGTTTTTTTAAAAGCTACTCAGGTAACTCTACTGTGCAGCCAGAACTAGGCAGTGGCCTGACAGCATGGCCCCCAAATGTGAGTGAACATCAGAATCACAGGTTGCTGGGCTGCACTCCCGGAGTTGCTGATTCAGTAGGGCCTGGGTGGGGCTGAGAAGCGTCATTTCCAACAAGGCTCCAGGCTCCTGGGATGATACTGGTCCACAGCCTCCAGTAGAGAATGTGCAGAGCTGGGGTTAGAGGATACCTTGGCTGTCCCAGGTCCGAACAGCAAGTCTGAAGCATCACCAGCTGTCCCGGGTTTGCCTATGTACACGCCCACCTCCATCTAACAGGGGTGGGAAGAGAACCTCTTTGTAGGGAGGGCAAGAGCCCACACAGTTTGTCCTCAAGGAGAGGGTAGGACCACTGAGCTCAAACATGGCATCGGGGGAAGAGTAGTGGCTTTGGCCTGAGTGACCTGGGGCCCAGAAAGGACATGTGTAGGTGGAAGTCACAAGGAGGCCTTTGGGCTCAACACTGGAATAACTTTTTAACCTTGCAAACTGCCCCATCTGGAAAGGGAACCAGCGTCCTCTTTCCGCAGTGAGTGGGAGGTAGCCCAGCTGAGCTGGAAAGCTGGAAGGCTGGAAAGCTGTCGGGGAAAGCTAGAGATGTCTGCAGGCCCTTTGAAGTCTGAGATCGAACATCCTTCCAGCCTCCAGTCTGCCTTTTCTCCAGAGCTTTCTGTTTATTTAGGAAGGTGACAAGCTGGAGCTTTTGCCAGAAGCTGGTTTTCCTATCAGTAAGCGATTTGCTTTCCCAGGGTAAACAGGAAGGCAACCTCGGAGAGCAAAGCCAGCAGGTCGGCAAAGCGGCAGCAGGTGTCACCTCATAAGTGCATTGCAGAGAAGTCTGAGCCCTCTGGGCCTGACAGACGCTGCAGCTTAGTGGGAGGCGGGGGTGGGAAGCGAGGCAGGTGGCCTACGCGGCAGTGACGCGGGGCTCCCGGGGTCAAACGGTGCTGGGGCAGGGCAGGAGAGAGACGAGAGGGTTCAGCCCACGCTGCCGGCCACATCAGAGCACCAAGAGAACACCAAGTCTTTATTACAGGAATTCCTGTGAAACAGCCCCAAGAGAAAACCCACACATAGAAGGGGGAAAAAAAGGAAGGAAAAAAAAAAAAACACAGCAATACACACACTTGGGGCTGGGGCTTCCCCGCGGTGCGCCGGGCTCTAGAGCAGAGAGGAGCCCGGGCCACAGCCCGAGGCACCCCTCAGAGAGCAAAGCCAGCTCTATGGGGTCAGGCCCGGCTGTAGCTCGGCCTGAGGGCTATATCCCGGCCAAGACGCAGTAGAGGGCGGGCGGCCCCTCCTGGGCAGGGCCAGCCCGCGCGCTTCCAAACTTGGTCAAGCGGCGCGGGCGGAATGAGGTGCGCTGGCGGTGTCGCCTCCGCCTGCGGTCCTGAGCGCCCGCCATGCCCTCATTTTCTCGGGGTGACCTGAGGCCACCTGGGGCCCCGCAAAGGCTTGGTTCCCACTGCCAGCCCTGCGGGGGTTGGGCTGCTTCCACACTCGGTGGGTGGGGTGGCTGAAACCTCCGGCTGCCCAGGATTCCCGGGTCTCCCAAGAGGTCAGCGCCTTCCCATCCTGATGGTGGCGCCAGGGAGATCGGGCAGTCTCCCTCCCATTGGCAGTGGTTGATGCCAGGTAAGGTTGGTAGAACCGGAGTTTTCATCCTCGGATCATTCACCTTCTCACTCTTGGCAAGGGGCACCCAGCAAACCCTTTTGCCCCAGGTGCTCCCACCCAGACTGGCAACCCCTTCCCCTTGCTCCAGACTACTGCCTAACCAGAGTCCTCCAGCTCCGGGGTGGCCACCCTCCCCATCCCTGCTGGGGGCCGTGCCAGCCCCTAAAAGAGGCGCCAGCGGGGCCCAGGCAGGGCAGTCAGCAGATACCCTCTTCCGTGGCCCATCACTCCTCCAGGGGCCAAGTGGCTGCCCGGGGCTCTCCCACCTGGAGCTCTGCACAGGGGCTGTGCCCAGTGTGAGCAGCCCCTGGAAAAGGCTGAGATGCAGAAGACAGTGGGAATAAAGGGCTCAAAGTGCCCAGGAGGGAGCAGGGGATGGGACAGGGGGTCAGGCATTGTCCGTGGTCCAGAAGGTTGGGAAGCGTGAGAGGTAGGGGCTCCACCTTCAGGCCAAAGAGCCTCCAACCTTTGCCTGTTTCTGGATGTTGTTTTTTTTTAAAAGAAGGGGTTTGGAAATCCATCATTGCCCATAGAACAGCCAGGCTACAAAGGAGCCCTGGTTGGCCTGCGCACCCCCCTCCCCCAGATCCTTTCTCCAATCACAGCATGCAACTCCGAAGTTCCAAGTCCCACGGAAAGTGGCAGTGTCTGGGCTGGACGGCAGCCAGAGAATCGCTGGGCCTCGGCAGTCAGCACCATCTGTCCAGCCACAGCTAGGCTTTTCGACGGGGGGCCGGTGCCGCTCTCTGGCCGCCTCCACCGGGTCAGATCATCTCCAGCGAGGAGGAACTGCTGTCATCTAGTAAGGGAAAGGGAGGTGAGATTGCTTTTCAATGAAGCCCAGTCTTTTTCAATGAAGCATCACTGGTTCTTGGAGAGATGGTTTTGGGCAGAAGCTACCAAGGACAAGAACCCTCTCCTTCCTCCAGGGACTCTATGTCAGCCTTGGAACTCTTCCTGGGATCGATCACACACACACAGACTCCAAGCTCCTAGAAATGGTCCAACTTGCAGAACACCAGGGCCTCTGGCAACTGGAGATGGAGCAGGGTACTGGAATTCTGGTGGAAGCCGCTGCATGGGGGACATGCCTAGCCCATTCTGTCATGCAGCAGCAACTCCGATGAGCCAGAGTAAGGGCACCTGTGGCAGCAGCCAAGTAAATTGGGGTCAGAATTTGGTGGGCCCCACGCCCCAGCTGGAGGAATTCATAAGCCTTTAGTGCTGAGGAGACCCACTCAGAGAACAAGGATGAATGGAACGAGAGCGTTCTGGCGATGCGGTGAACAGTCGGGGCAGTGAAGAAGAGACCAGTGGCTGCTAACTGGGTGATGAGAAGGAAAAAAGGAAGGAAGGGAAATGAAATGGGGAAGTCAGGGGGAGAGCGTGGCCTTCAGGGAGTTCTCTAGAGCTAGAAAGACAATTGTGGGCACAGCTGGGGTTATAAAGCAGATGGGGCAGACAGACAGAGCCAGTACTGCTGACACTGTAAAGAGGGCGGTGACCCAGGCCGTGCTGCAGGAGCAAGGTTTCAAGGGCAGAGCTAGCAGGAGACCTGGGGCTGAGGAAGAGGGAGGAGTGATAGGAGACCAAAAAGGACCCTGAGAATAGAGTTGAGAGGAAGAAGGCCCAGGATTCTGGGGCCACAGGGGCCAAGGGAGAGCAGTTTCAAGAAAGACGACGGGCACAGCGTGACTGAGAGAGCACCAGAGGACACGACACAGGACAAGGCGCTGAAACTGGCAGGTGTCCATCTGGGGGTGGTGGGAGGGGCTGCCGGGCTGCTGGGCTGCTGGACTGCAATGAGTGGAGGATGATGCCACTTGTTTTGCAAGTTGGGTGATTTTTTCTTTATTTTCAAACGGAGGGGAAGGAAGAGAGAGAGGGAGAGAAACAGCATTGTGTGGTTGCCTGTCGCCCACCCCAGGCAAGTGCCCTGATGGGAAATTGAACCTGCAACCTTTCTTTTTGCAGCCCAGCACTCAGTCCACTCAGCCACACCAGTCAGGGCGCAAGTTGGGTGATTTTTATGATGGGGAAGAGGAGGATGTAGACTTGAGGAAGGAGCTGGAAAGGGAAAAGCTGGAAGATTCAGGGGAGAAAGAAATGATGGGCAAGGTCCTGATGCAGGAGTGGCTTTGAACTAGACACGTTTTTCCTGGGGACCCATGGGAAGGAGACAGCAGCAATGCCAAGTGGTTGGCCTTTCCTGTGGCTTTACGTGTACCTTCTGGAGAAGTGAGAAGTATGGGTGCGGCTCCATGAGTGAGAAAAGCCTGAGAGAACAAGCAGGTCTGAAAGTGCGCGGCGGAGGATGGGGTGGGGGTGAACGGGAGGTGACGTGAAGGCTGCCCAGGCTGCAGGGAGAGGGCCCTGGTCACTGTTCCTGGCTGTGTCCTCTGCGCGCTGACAACCTCACCTCCATGACAACCATCCCGAGGGGAGCAATACTTCTGCACAGTCTGAAACCGGGCCACAACTGCCACACCTTCAGCTTGAGAAAGTCTTGTAGCTGCTGGCCCCTGGGACCAAGACAGCAGCAGGGGGAGGGCAGGCAGGCAGCTTCCTGGTGGGGGAAGGGGCTGGAAGAGTGACAGATGCAACTGAGTCCTGGAGGAGGTGTTGACACTGGGTTTTCTCCCCGAGGGGTGCACAGGGAGAGAGGGGGAAAGCAGCCTGGGGGCCGGGGCTCCGGCCAGAAACAGGGCTGTCCTGAGAGGGGTTGTCTCCTCACCTGGCTGTGTCAGATGCCAGGCACCCACCCCAAGCAGCCAGTGGGCGAGTTCTGTGTGAGGCCACCCCTGTTTTCCTTACACTGTCCTCTTGGTGTGCTGTGTGTTGGGGGACCAACTAGGCTGTAAGCTAGTTGAGATCAACTAGTGTCGAGATCAAAGCTATTTTTTCCTGTTCCCAGCATCTGTCACCGGAGGAATGATTCTCTTTCATCCAATGAATAAATAAGCAAGTAGAAGAAATGCAAAAGTCTAGCTTTCGGGCAGAAGCCCACGTCCCCTGCCACAACAAGCAAAGAAGTGCAGAGTCCCCACTATCTGCTTTCCTGAGTCTGAGGCCTCTGGACTCCTGGGAAGACACTTAAGATGTGGGCTGTGGCGGCCCTGGCCTCGGGCAGTCCCTGGGCAGCGGTGGCTCCAGGCCTTACCTCTTACTGTCCTTCCCTTAGGGCTTCCTCCACCTTGGGCACCTCCTGTCGCCTTCCCCGCAAGTCTTCATCTGAAAAGCAGAGGAAAGCTGCCTTATCCGCCACCCGGCAGGTGCCTGCTCAGGCTTGTCCCCAGGCTGAGCAAGAGCGCTCCGCCTGCTTTCTGGGGCACATGCTGAGTCCTGGGGGAAGTGTGTGGGTCTGGTGAGAAGGCGGCAGGGCACGAAGCGGATTTGGACGCCTGTCTGCTCACCTGGTTCCCCCACTGAGCTCCAAGGCCTTGGACAAGACCGTCCCTCGGTTTCCTCACCTATAAAGTGGGACAGGGAAGTTGGACTATCCAGGTGACCTCTGAGGCGCTTCACACCCTTGTTTCTGGATGTCTCCTGACCACTGACAGCCCCTCTCTCTGAGGCACAGAGATCGGGGCTTGGCTGTGGGTCTGGTAGGGTCTGAGGCAGCGTCTCCTGTCCCTTTGGGCGGGGCCGTTCGAAGGCTCAAAGGCCTCGGGGCCCGGAGACTGGGCCTGCCCAGAGCTCGGTTCTCAAGTCCGAGCCTGTCTGTCCCTCACACCCCAGAGAATATTCCCTAGCAACAGCACCTGGCGCTTCGTGCTCCAGGCAGAGGTCTGAGTGGAGGTGTGGCTGGGGCTCCCATTCAGGGGTGGGAAGAAGGAAGAGGAAATATAGTCTAAGTGGGAGAACCCATTTCTTTGGGGCACCTGCCCACCAGTCCTTGATATGTCACCCAGGTTGGGTCTTGGGCCACTAATCACAGGCAACTGAGAATTCAAGCTTCCCCCGACCCGCCTCCTGCCCCCCATGCCCACCCCCACCCCGCCACCGTGCCTTACCATAGGTGTGGCCCTCCACGTCATCCAGGAGATTGGCTGTTGACGCAGCAGCCCCCAGCCTGCCCGGCCATTCAGGAAAACGGTCCCAGGGATGGGCGGGCACTGCCACGGTACTCCAGCTCTCTGTCTTGAGTCCCCCGCACCCACTCTCAGCTCAGGAGGCCTCCACCACACCAGCCTTATCCCCCAAACCTCCTCAGTGTCTCCCCAACGCTCCTTAGAGTCAGTTGAGCAGCCAAACCCTGAGTCACCCAGCTCCCGTCCCGGGAATGGAGAAGCGACTTTCTCCCTGTTCCCTTTTGGCTGTTCGGCTTCTCACATCCTGGGCCTTGTTTGACAAGCATGGATAGGAGCCTGGGTGAAAATGTGGAAAATCTCATCTTTACTTGAGGAATTGAAAGTGAGAGGGCAGGGCTGCCATGCTTGCAATGAGGCGGAGAGGTCTGAGGATCAGGCAACTGGAGAAATTGTGAAAGGGCTGCGATCTCAGGGGAAGAACCCAGTTCTCTCCCGAGATGGAGTTTGCTCCAGACAAAAGGTAAAAAAGCTGCAGGACAACTTCCCGGCCTCCAGAAGGAAGGTGGGGGATGGGAGGGGCTGGCCCTCTCCCCAAGCCTGGTCGTGGTAGCTGAGGTTGGCACAGAGGGACGGGGCAGCAGGCTGGCAGCGGGGCTTAGGGAGAGGGTGGGGCCGTGCGCAGCCTCGGGAGCCCAGCCCAGGGTCTCGGTGCCCTCAGCACCCACCCGCCCCACCCAGTGCCAGGCCCAAAAGGATACGACTGATGCTTCAACAAATGTTTCCTCTTTGACTTCCTCATCTTGGTCTTCTCCGAGAAGGCCCTAGCCAGTTCAAACAGCTTCCTCTGAGTGGCTGGGGGCAGAGAGACCTGTGAGCCAGCAGCCAGATTACCAAGTAACTGCCCTCCAGAGCCGGGGGCAGATGGGCGGGGCGGCTCAGGAGCCCAGGAAGCTGGGGAAGCCATGCCCCTGGGGGCGTGAGGCTGCCATCCTGGGATTCCTGGGATGGCCTGCAGGGGCAGCAGAGGCTACCAGGAGCTGGCCCAGGGAGAGCCGGCAGCCCAAGATCTGGTATTCCTCCTCAGCTTGACAAAGCGCGATGCATCTTGGCTTTCTCTCCCGCCGCCCACCCCCGCCCCTCGCCACCTCCAGAGTTGGTCTGGGATTTCCGTAACTAATCCCAGATTTTCCCTGAAATGGAGCCTGAAAGGATGGCAGCCTCATTCACACATGGTTGTGTGTCTGTGGGGCGGGGAGGGGAGTACTGGCTGGCAGGGCTTTGTGGGAAGAGGTCACGGGTCCCGAAGGCCTCCCACCTGTAGAAAGTGGGTTTAGCGAGGACCTCTCCCCACTCGGGTCCAGCAAAGACCCCTCAAGCCACAGGGAATGTGAACACGAAAACTTTTGGGGGGAGGGGGGAATGCAGCACATTATTTTTCTGCAGACAGCTGGCTCAAGAGGATTTAAAACTTAATTTGTATCCAGACTCAGCAGCAAAGGGAAATGAGGCAAGAAGGCTGAGGGAGCCAGCCTGCGATTAAAATGTCACTTCGGTTCACTAGGAGTCAGCTGCATTAAAAATTCCCGGTGGCTCCCTCCCTCCCGTGAGGCCACAGGGCCCGTCTGAGAAGATCTGGGAGGGGGGCATGGGCCACACTCACATTTGCCCATGTGTTTCAACTTGTCCCTGAATAAGGCATCTTCAGACACAGCAGGGTTGGCGTCACTGGTTCCTGGAAGGGGGAGACACTTCTGAGGGCCAGCTGGAGAGGGACAGTGGCTGCCCAGGACCCCGGGGACATGGGTCAGGGCTTCCCCAAAGGACAGGGGCTCAGCCCGACTCTGCTATTTGAGGAAGGAAGCAAAGATCAGGATGGACGCTTGGGCTTTGAGGAGCACCTCTCTCCCCACCCGAGCGTTGCTTCCTCCTCTGTAAGAAGAGGGACAGTGCCACGGTCCACTGTGTGTGCAGAGAAACAGCTCCCTCGGACTCCCAACCGCCTGCCTCTCTGACCAACCCCGCGTCCCTGAAGTCACGCTGGCAGCCTGAAATCAGCCACGGCAGGAGTTTTTTACACTGTGCGGGTCACCATACGCTGCCCACTCAGCCTTCCCCCGCACCCCGACCGGCGATTACATACTCACCAGCACCCCACAGTGTGTGAGCGCTAATGAGGTAACGGAAGGAAGGCACCCCTGTGTTCACCCACAGGGGTTCTTGTCTCCTTCCCTCCAGGGTCAGCCCACCCTATCACCCCCACCCCCAGACGTGGAGTCTCAGACTAGGGAGACAATGATGCGTGGGAATGAGAATGGGGCCAGTCCCGATGTCAGAGCCCAGTTGGCCAACCAGAGTACCTCCCTCCCTCCGCACCCACTTGGGTCTCTTACTGCCCTTTTAAAGCCCCTGCTCTCTACCCTGCAACTCGGCTAATCCAAGTCACCTTGTTTGCTAAGCCCCCCATGAGCCATTCTGATCCATCTCAGCAGCCCTGGTGTCTATAGTTAATTCAGGATCAGGGACAGAGGCGGCCGTTAAAACCCTCGGATGCACATCTGGTGGGGCCTGAGCTCCCAGCCTGTTGCTTATGAGTCGGTTCCACAGGATTTTCTCCTTGGAGCCAGGACCAGCTGAGCTCCCCGTCCCTCAGCTCCCTGCCCCCACCCCACTCCACCACTCCACCACGTAAGGTTTTCGGATTCTGTCTCTGAGGAGGGCAGCCTGTGTGTGAGCAGAGGGCTCTGGCTGACGAAGGCTCACCACGCACATATACAGGCAAAGTCCAGGTGCTGAGTGTGGAACAGGGTTCTCTGGGCCTCTTTGCCCCAGGCTCCCATCTTGACCTTCATCTGAGCATCCCAACAGGCTGCTGTCCACCCCTGGCCCTCCCTCCTCCAGCCGCTTAGGGCTCCTGCGGGGAGCTGGCCCTCTCGAGGCAATTCTTGCTTCTCTACTCATTTCTCGTTTGCTCTACCCATTTCTCGGATGTATCTCCATAAGCTCCCCTCCCCCAGGGCAAAGACCAAGGCTTGTGAGTCTCTGAGTCCTTCTTGCCCCTCCTCCCCACCCGGGACATTATGTGGTGTGGCATGTCCTGTTCTTGCCCATGTTCCAGACACCTCTTTGGGGTTCAGCCAGCCTGCTCGCCAACCCCAGTGGTGGGCTCCAGCAGCCCCTGGACTGTGAGAACTCAGGCTGCTAAGTGGAGGGGACATCTCACTCCACAGTGAGTGCACAGAGCTCTCTCCACCAGCCTACTTCCTCCCCACAACTCCAAATATGCAAAGTGCAGGTGGGGTGTGCCCTCCACACCTCTCTCCCAGGAAGGTGAGGTTACCTGGGGCAGGAGAGGGAAAGCCGAAGTCATTCCCCACAGCCACGCTGCTGGACTTGGATTTCTGGGACTCGTATTTCAGTCGATCTGGAAAAGGACCACATTCCAATCAGGGAACTTAGCACCTGGATGGTTGGAGGCCAATCCCCCAGACTTACTCACAAGCACACACAAAATATAGGCACACACAACGTCTGCTGGTAGTCGAAGACCCGGCAGTATCCTAGAAACTGCTGCCCTGCCGTGCGCTGGGGGGCAGAACCTCAGAATCAGGAGGACCCTGAGAGATCGTGCAGTCCAACCCCTTCAGTTAAAAGGAAATGCTCATAGACCCTCAGCTCTGTTGCTGCAGAGCTGGGGCCGGCCTTGGGCCTCTGTCTCAGCCTACCCTTCTCCCCGCACCCCTTGTTCCTCCCCTACGACATGCTCAGTCACACACGCTCTGCCACTGCGACCCCCACAGGACAGACCTCTCACACCCCTCCCTCTGCACTCCCCCCCAAACACACTCTCACCCTGAAGGGGAAGGCAGCCAGGCTGGAGAGCAAGGTCCCCGAGCCAAAGATAACGCAAATGCCCCCAAAACTTGAGAACCTTGCTCTAACATCCTCCCTCGAGGAGGCTCCCACTCTGGCGCCCACGGACCATCCTCTGTTCCCGGAGCTCCAGACACATCGTGCCAAGGCCAGTGCCTGGCACCGTGCAGATGTGTGGGCGGGAGAAGAGGGCCTGAGAGGGAATGCCTCTCCTCTACTGACTACGGAGGAGGGAGACGGGGTAGCTGGTGACAGCTCCCCATTTGGCAAGGATTCTGGGGCTTCCACAGGGGTCATGTGGTGGCGACCACATCTCAACCTTTCAGAGGCCACCCTTGGCCTCCAGCTCCCTGCCTCTCCTGAGCCCCGAGGCTGCCACCAACATCAGCCACAGAGAAGCACCACAGTGGCCCCGCCCGGGGCACCACCTCTCTCCAGTGCCAGGAGGAAGTCCCTGTTGCGCTGCAGCTCCTTCATGAATTCCTCGTTCTGCAGGAAGAGCGCGATCCTCTCGTCCTCCAGGTACTGCTTCCAGAGGCTCTCCTGGTCGCGCGTCCCAGGCCCGGCCGTAGGGGGCAGGCCTCCCTCTCTGCTCATGGGCTTGGAGCCCCCGGGGTTGCCCTGAGGAGGGGAGAGAGCATGTTGAATGCCTATTCACAAGGACGCGTGTTGCACAGACATCGGTGCACATCTGGGTGTACACGCGTGTCCTTTCCCAGGATCTTCCAGCTGAACCCTGGGGCCTGCACGTCCTTTCAGGGTCTAGTCACAGGCCCGACTCCACTGCACGGGCCAGGGTCCCCTCTGCCGAGGAAGCAGCAAGGGCCGAAAAAGGCCTTTGCCTCCCCCTTGGACCACCCCATCTCTATCTACAACCTGAACGGTCCAGAAAAGTGATCTGCAAACTGCTCAGTAGCCTACGCGTGATTCCCAGACTCTCCCCGCACCAGCTGTGTTGGGGTGACACCCACTCTCCCGGAGCCCCTTGGGACACGCCAGCCTCCAGGGAGAGGCGGCCTCCGGCCCTTTCCCAAGAGAGGGAAGGTGGGTGCCCTGGTCCCCTGCTGTTGGCTGTCCCCATGCCCACCTCCCTCATGCCTGGAGTGGCAGCTGTAGCCAGAGTCTGCTCGCGGCTGTCACCTTCCCTGGGTGGAACAGGAAACCTCCAGACCCAGACAGGAAATGAGGCTTTCATTCTTTCCCTGTCAACCCGGGGCAACATAAATAGCTCAGCTGGGGCTCAGACATCAGAAAGTGAAACTGGCTGGCCTGACGGTGTGGGCGAGCAGAGATGCCGTGCAGGCCAGTGGGGGGTCCCCCTGTACCTGCACGCTGTCCAGCTGCTGGGGCAGGATGCGGAGAAAGTCATCCGGGAGGTTGCCCAGCAGTGGCGGGTTCCAGTTCCGATAGTGCCTCTGGCTGGAGAGGGGCGCGGAGCCCAGCACATCGATGCTGGAGGGCGAGGGGTGACAATGAGGAAAAGTCAGGCCCTGACATGGGTGTCCTGGCCCATCACACCAGGACCCTGTGCAAAATGGCACACCTGCTCCCCACGGCCTCTGTGGCTTCCTTCACAAAGGCCCAGCACTCTTGCTCCTCTTCTCAACCAGGCCTTGGCTGACCCCTGACCTCCAGCCCAGGCCTGGGTCCCTGCTGCTCCAAAGGTTCACTGCTCTCCAACCACAGTGCCTTCACGGTCTCAACCTGTAGAGCTCTCTGTTCCCGGTGCTTGGGCTGGCCCTTGCGGGTTTAGACGGAGGTGTTTGTGAACATCCTCCAAAGACAGCGGGGATCCTGGCCTTTTATGCTTCTACCACTAGCACTTGGCACAGTGCGAGCTGATGGCTGCTGAGCAACAGGTGTGCTCCAAATGAACAGACAGATAAGCCACCAAGAGCCCAGCCACCTGAATGTTGGTATGCAGGGCTGGGGGGACACGGGGACCCCAGGATCGCTAGGGAGTAGAGCACACCCCGGCCAGTTCTGGCACTGCCACAAGCCAGCAGTGCGGTGGACGGCGAGACCTGCTCCCCTCTGGGACTCACTTTCCTCCTCTAGAAACAGCTGCCTCCCTGCCAGAGCAGGCGGGAGCCCCTCACCAGACTGTTTGGAACAACGTTCTGAATAGGCACATTGAGACACCGGAGCAGAAGGGTTCTTGTTCTGGGGAACGCTCGGGGGCGCTCTTCATGAGCAAGGGCCAGGCAGAGGCCAGCTGCCAGGTGGCAAGGAGAGGAAGAAAGGCAGCAGCCTGTGCCCTCCTGGATCCCTAGGCTCCCCGCCCCGCCGCCCTGGGCCCCAAGGGTGGCCTGGGGCCCCGCCAGGCGCTCCCCACAGCTCCTCAGCAGCCAGCAGCGTGGCAACCGCAGGACACGTGTTCTGCTGGATCAGGGAAGTGACACACACAGAAGGCAGCTCGGGCTGGGGGCGGAGGGGGCCACTCTGGCTCTGGGGCCTGGCTTTGATTTGGTCTCCAGCTCCAGGAATCCCTCAGCCCCCTCCCTGGAGGGGAGCTTTTCCGGCTGGGCTGCCGCTGCCTGTGGAAATCACTTCCTTTCCTTTTCTATTTTGGGCGGGTGGCCGGGCGGGGGACTGAGGGAGGGGCGGGGGCGGCAGCAGACAGGATAACAAGCTGCTAAGTGCGGGGTGGGAGCAGCACAGGCAGACTGGAGCCAAGGGGGAACCCCAGCACGCCTCGTCCACCCCCTCCCTGCACAGATGCGGGGATGGTCTACAGAAGAGTCTGCCTCACAACCCTGGACCGGTTCCTAGGCAGCTTCCTCTCTGCATCACTCTGCCGCCTTCTGTCACTGTTGGAAGCTTCAATTTTCCCAATTTTCCCCTGAGAGGCAGGGGAGAGGATGTCCCATCGCTCAGGGACTCGAAGGCCACCTTTGATCATTCCCAGCACAGAGGCTTACCACCTTTCCTTGGGTGTCGCCGTCTTTAGCTGGGACATAGGTGCCCATCCCAACTCAGCCACACCTAGAGTCACCCAGGAAAGCTGCCGAGGGGGAGCCCTGGGGTCACATTTGGGCTCCTCTAGACATTTTACCGAGAACCCAAGATTGGAGGGGGATGAGGAGCGGTAGCCCTGTCCTCAGCTAAGTTTCCTTGCTGCTGGGCCTGTGGTCCTGGAGGAAGGGCAGACCCAGCCCCCACCGGGCGCCTTGCCCTGGCACTGAAGGAGATGAGATCAGCCTTAGCTGTGAGAGACAGGGGGGCCCAGAGCCCAGACAGCCCAGGCAGCCCAGGCAACTCCACTGTGGTTAGAAAGGAATGTCAGAAATGAGCCGAGAGGCAAATAAAAAACTTCCAAGGCTGCCATTTCAAGGGGAAAACAGCAGGTGGCCTGTGCGGAGGGGTGCCTCCGGGTTTCAGAGCCCGGCTTTTATTCGCAAGATAGAGGAAAGGACAGGCTGGGGGAGGGGAAGGAGAGAGAAGGCTGGGGGGCTCCCCTGGCCCTGAGCCTGCCCTTGGACCCCAAAATTAGAACGGCACTCATGCATAGTCAGACCTCCGGATTTCCCCATGGAACAGCAGACCCCAGAAGGATTCAGAGTCAAACCTTCTCCGCGTGGTTTTTGATGAGGCCTCAACACTGAGGCCCAGATGGGTCAGCACCCACCCCCACCCCCGCCACCCCAACCCCAGGGCACCCACACCACTCAGGCAGAGCTGGGCCGGGGTCCTGGTATTCTGGGCACACCCCTGGCCTCCCTCCCCGCCTCCCCCAGCCTCCCTGCCCCAGCAGGACAAGCTCCCAAGCCCGGCCCCACCCACAGTCTCACAGTGACTCAGTGACTGTAGGTGACAGACACGTGCAGGGCCATTCCTCCCCCAACCACCAGCAGCCAGAGGGAGAGTCTAACACACTCACTTGAGCATGGCAACCTCAGCTTCAACCCTCTGGCTACAGGACAAGGTACAGCTCCTCAGAGGACCCACCAGCACCCCAGGACCTGCTGCCTCTCAAGCCTCAACCAGCCGTCCCATACTCCCTAACGTTCCCCAAACAGTTACCTCCTTCCTGCCTCCAGGCCTCTGCACATGTTGTTTTTGTTTGTTTGTTTGTTTGTTTGTTTGTGTTTTGCCTGGAATGCCCTCCTCTCCTCTGCTTAGCCAGGTCACGGCTTGGACATCAGCTCCTCTAGGCAACCTTTGCTGCACCCCTGCCCCCAGGTCTATTCCTCTCCCTTACTCTGTTCTGCTCATGGGGGCGGCAGAGGGGAGGGAGTTGAGACAGCGCTGTATTCTTCACTGCATCACACACCTGGTTCAGCACCTACATTCTGCAGGTGATTCAATAAATGCTGGAAATGGCCCTGGCTGGTGTGGCTCAGTGGACTGGGCACCAGCCTGAGAACTAAAGGGTTGCCAGTTAGATTCCCAGTCAGAGCACATGCCTGGGTTGTGGGCCAGGTCCCCAGAAGGGAGCATAACCACGCATTGATGTTTCTCTTTCTCCCTCCCTTCCCCTCTCTCTAAAGAGAAATAAATAATATTTTTTAAAATAATTAAATTTACTTTTTTTAAAAAAGATTATATTTATTTATTTTTAGAGAGGGAAGGAAGGGAGAAAGAGAGAGAGAATGAAACATCAATGTGCAGTTGCTGGGGGCCATCGCCTGCAACCCAGGCATGTGCCCTGACTGGGAATTGAACCTGCGATGCTTTGGTTCACAGCCTGCACTCAATCCACTGAGCTACGCCAGCCAGGGCTAATAAATAATCTTTAAAAACATAAAAATGAATGTCCTGCATGGAGAGACTGGAAATGGCCTAGGCCTGGGTCTGGGCCCAGCAGGGCCATCCTGGCACAAAGGGACACAGGCTCAGAGGCTGGCCCTGCCTTTTCTGAACACTGGCCTCTGAAGGAAGGCCCACCACTGGTCTCGGTGTCCGTGCCGAGGCGGGATTACCATGCCCATTTCACAGACGAGGCACACAGAGCTCTTACCCATTATGTAGTGAGCCAAAGGCCACACAGCAAAGGCACCTGAAGCATCAGAAGCCAGGCAGCTGAAGGAAGTGGGCAGAGAGAGCACTCTGCTTCTGGCTGATGCCACAGCTCAAGTTCTGGTCCCTGCATCCACGCCCAGCCCAGTCAAGCCTCGCTTTCCGGGTCAGAGACTTGCCCAAAGTCACAGGGTCAGAACGAGAACTCCCAAGTCTTGGTCTAGTGCTCAGGTCCACTTGCCCCCAACAGGGGCTCCCATCACTGGGCAGCCCTGCCCCTGCCCCGCCCACCGCAGCTGAACACCCAGCCAGCGTAAGGGCGGGAGGACACAGCCAGGATACCCACACCAGGTTTACGCTGGGACCCCGTCTCTCACGGCCTCAGTTTTCCCTTCTGAAAAATGGGCAGAACCACTCTGCCTGACAGAAGCTGAACCATTTGCAAAAATATGTTGGGATACAATTTTTTTTAAGTAAAAGAGAAACCATGTATCCCCATTCCAAGCTGAAAGTCATGCCGAGGGCTCACCCAGCCCCTCCTGCATGCCTTGCCTCCCACCTCAGTGCCGCCCCCTCGGACCTCTGTGATGCAAAGAGCCCAGTTTGCTCCCCTCCGTCTATGCCTCAAAACACTGCTCCCCCGCCGACCCCACCCCCACCCCATCCTCTTCTAGGCCTCTGTCCGCTCCCTGAGCATCAACCACAGAGCCTTTCTTCATTTGGGAGGCGACAGGACACAGCAATACAGAGCAGTGGTTTGGGAGTTAAAATGACCTGGGTTCAAATCCCAGCTCTGTATAGCCTTGGGGCAGTTATGAAACCTCTCTTAGGCTCAGTCCCCTCATCTGTAAAATAGGGGTGACAACAGTGCCTGCCTCAGAAGTTGCTAGAAAATTTGACTGGTTTCCAGTGCTTCGTAAATGGCAGCTGTTTGTCTATACCTGTATGATGACAGAGTCCTCCACTATCTCTGAGGCTCCCAAGATCCAGTAGAACGAGTCCCCTGCCCCATCCCTTCCCCCACCCCTCACCTCTCACCCCTCCAGGCCTGAGGCATCCTAAGAAACAGCAGCTTTAGGACAAAGAGACACCTGGGCTCCAGCAAGCCTTACCACAAGAGGCCCGAGGCCCGGGAAAACAAGCACTTCAGAGACCCAGGGGACCCAGCTGGCAACGCGTTTAGTGTTAAATCTCCAAATTACAGAGTCCCTGACCTGGAAGAAGTCTCCAAGGACCTAGCAGTCTATTCCCCTGCCTTCAGTTATTAAACAATCCCAGGAAAAGAGACTTACTTGATCCCACTACTTTACAAATTCCCCCACACATTCTTAGACTGGGCAGGGCAAACACATATCCGTCCCATCAATTCCTGATGACTGCCTGGGAGTGCTGTGCTGAGGAAGATCCTGAGGTTCTGTCCCCACGGAGCAGGACAGAGCACCGTGATCAATCAGTAACGTTTGCCGTGGGCTCGGGAGAGGAGAAGTCAGTTCCCAGTCCACGTGTTTGTCATTCCTGTTCTGCACCTCCCTTGACTGCTGGCTCCCAGGAGCAGAGGCTGAGCTCGACTCCTGTCTCGTGTGGTGCTCAGCACAGATATCGCCTGGCCTAGAGTAGGGGTTTAGTGAACGTTTGCTCTTGAACGTTCTCCTTGGTATCTGACTGAAATGTTCTCGCTACAGTAGAAGCCTGGTCTTCCTGAGGGGTCTAACCAAGATTCCCTCTGGGTTGGTGCTCAGCCCCAACCTCTGACCCCTTCCCCACTGCCGGGCGCTCTGCGGGGAGCTGGATTCTCACCGGGGAGGTGGAGTGGGGGGAGCCAGCGGGTAAGGCCTGTCGAACATGTGCATGTGGTAGGCTGGCGGGGAGTACACAGGCGGGGGCTCTTCATCGGAGCTATCAGGTTCCAAAGTCCTTTCCAAGATCTATAGCAGGGAGGACAAAGAAAGAAACATTAACAACTCTTCCTCTTCCTTGAATTTGAATAACATTTCTGCAAAATCCAGCGTGGGTGAAGATGTGTGCAGTCAGGGAACTCTGTTGCCGTTGCTGGTATAAATTGTTACAACCAGCACGTTGCAAAAACAGTCTGGCCTTATATACTGAAGCTAAACGCATGGCTACCCCTGACCCTACAACTCCAACACACTCAACAGACAGGAAAGCGTGTGTCCCCGACACAAGGTTCAGAGCTGCGTTATTCACCCCAGTAAGGTTCAGAAGCAAGCCAAACACATCACCGTCACCGTGAGAGAAGTCAGAGCGGTGTGAACGCGTGAGGGTGGGGAGGCCAGGGAGGGGCACGAGGGCTTCCGATAAATGGGCTTCCGATTCCCATTTATGTTTCTTATCTGGGTGCTTGAGAACATCGCTGAGCTGCTCACTTACGGTTCGTGGGCTCTTCCATACACGTGTTACTGTTGATAACTAACCTCAACATCATTCACAGCCTCTCTCCAAGTACTTCTACATGGATTATCTCGCCTTAATCTCAAACAACTTAGCAAGGTCGGATATGGATTGCTACCCCATTTTACGGATGAGAAAACTGAGGCCCAGGCTAAGTGACATGGCAAAGGCCACACAGTGTTTTTAGAACTGAATCCCAATGGTCTTGGACATGGTCTCCATAGCAAGGGTCCCTCCTTCAGCCACGATGCCTGCGTTTCTGGTGTGGATTCTCAGGGTGGACGGGGCAAGGGGGTGCCTGGAGTCCCTCTCCCTCCCAGACTCCTTATGTCATCCAGGGGCCAGAAAGAGGGACAGGGCAAGGCCAAGGGCTGGACAAAGGCTGGGGTTCCTGCTACATGGACTAACCTGGACCATTACTGGAACGTCCTCCCTGGAGTCTGGGGCGGAAGGCAGCACAGCCAGGAGATCCCAGGTCACGCAACCCAAACGGCCTGTACCTTAGCCTCCTGCTGCTCTCTCCTTTCCTCCCAGCTCTGTTCTCATCTCCTTGGAGACCGAAGAACATGGGAAGGGCTCCGAGGCCATCAGTCAGCCCCAGAGTCCCCAGGCTGCACATTTTAACCTCAGGTAAATTTGCAGAAGTCACTGCTAAACCGACTCTGCTCTGCCTCGGTAAGCCTGGGCCGGGCTGGGCTGCACCGGCCCATCCCTGCCCTGAGCCCAGCAGCACCCAGGCACCGGGAGTCTCATGGGGTCACCGGGCAGGTAGATGGGCAGGTGGTGAGTGAGCACTGAGTGCACACACACACGCACAGCCAGGCGCTGCGTGCACATAGCCAACCTGACCCAAGGAGGCCCCCGCCCTGGAATGCACTGACGTTCTTTCCTCTGAGGCGGAAAGTATTTAAACAGATGCTTTTGCAGAAAAAGAAGAATGTTACCGCTTTGCAGGCCACTGCTCTGCTGGTCTCAAATTTCCACAAGAAGTAAAACAGAGAAAGAGAGAGAGAGACCGCCGAGCTCCATTCCTGTCGCGGGCAAACGTCTGGCGCCTGGCACAGGACAGCAGCTCGGCAACGACCTGGCACGCCCAGAGCCCATGCTGCTGCTGCCCCCGGCCCACATTCCTCGTGCCCAGACCCCGCTGGAGGACAGGGCACCCACCGGGCAGGGGCCTAGAGGCCAACTTGTGGAGGCTGAGCCTCTCCTCCCTCAGGCTCTGGCCTGGTCTGTCCCCATAGAGACTGGTCTGCGTGAGATGGGTGAGGCAGGGAGAAATCAGTGGGGATTATTCCCGGAAAGAAGCTGCCTGGGGTTTCCCAAGGCTGTCCTGGCAGCTGGCCCCCCAGAACTGAGGGAGATCAGGCCTCCACAACTGCACCAGGATGATCCCCTCGTTGCCTGGCTGCTCCTGCGCCTCAGGGTGGCCTCCTGGGGCTGCGAGAACCACACGTTCGTCAGAGAAGCTCTGGGAGCAGAATGAGGGACCGCCAAAGGGGCGGGCACTGGGCCAGGCACACTCCAGAAAAGCGGACCTCAGTCTCCGGGGAGAGTCACCCCAGCCACGTTTCGAGCCTCCCCAGCCTCTCTCCCTGCAACCCCGCCAGCCACAACGAGGCTGTTCTTCTGGCTCTAAAAGGTGTTGAAGTTTTCGGCTCTACGGCCTCCTGGCTTAATTCAGTGTGGGTGATGGATGCCTACCAGGTGCTCCGAGGGTCAGGGTCTGGCCATTTATCTGACAGAAGATGTTTCTCTGTGGCAAGGGTACCCCTTGGGCCAGCCCACCATCCATCACCCCCCAGAGAGGGGGCTTTTTCCAGTCAGCAGTTATTGTCATTCCAGCTGCTGCTCATAAATTTTCCGAAGCACTTTCCGCTGGCTCAGGAACTGCCCGCCGATGGACCTAGGCAGGGCTCCAAACTCGGGGGATTGGGGAAACAGTCCAGGAGGGGTGCTGAGAGGGGACTCAATCTGGAGAGCAAGATTCTTAGGAAAACAGAAGCACACATAGTGCAGGCCTGTCCAGGGGATGCTGAAGCCTCGCGGAGACTCGCTGGGCCGCGGGTGTGGTGGACTCGGGAGGAAATAGCATCTTCCCTGCCAGACTGCCAGAACAAATGAAACTGCAGAACGGTCAGAGCACGCAGAGAACCTTCCTTCCAGCTCACACTTAAAGGGTGTATCTGCAGACACACGCTCCCACACGCATTCACCCCTCTTTTTCACAAAGAAAATCTTGGTTTTTCCAACACTCCTTCCACTTGCTAACCCAGGCAGGTCAAAGGAATGGTCTCCAGGGGAAAGAGACTGAAGAAAACTGTGCAAAGACAGTAGCAACATTTCTCCCTCTCCCAATCTTCCCTGAGTGCCTGCTATGTGCCAGGACCGTCCCAGGTGCCGCAGATGACGTGGGGATGAGCCGGATGTCATCGCCCACAGAGCTCCTCTCCTGCCGGAGAGAGAAATCCCAGGCGGCACTTATGAAGGGTGAAGAGCAGGTGGGCCCCGCCCTGCAGCGTGACTCTGATGGATGGGCAGTGACTACCCACTGCCCTCAGCACAGCCTGCGCCTGTGCTGAGTAGGACCCCGAGGCCATATCTGGGTCTAGGTTTTCTCATTGTAAACGAGGGTGATAATAATGCCACCTCACAAAGTTGGGAAAGACTAGGAGAGACGATGCATCTAAAGCAGGAGGGTGGTGCCTGGCGTAGGCTGGGACTCAATGAAGAACAGGGTTAAATCCCACCCCTGCGTCCTCCCGTCCATGGCTGCATGTCCCACATGCCCCTGCAGACAGTGACCTTCTCACTGAAAGACCATGTGCCCGTCTGCATCCAGCGCTGCAGGTCCTATAGAGACTGGGGGGCCAAACGTATACTGAGCTCTTGGATGGGGCCAGGGAGGATTGGCCGCACCCCGCAGGGGGGCCCTGATGCTGTGGGCTGGTTGCATCTCCCCCATCCCCCTCCCTGGGGCAAGGAGAGAAGGGCTTGGGCATCACTCACTACCACCTCCATCACGCCTCAGTCAGAGGAAGTCTGATGTCACTCCCCTTCCGTGGCTCCCTATGCTCTCGGGACACAGCCCCACTCTCCTTGTCAACCTCCTGGTCTCTGCTCATTCTGGGATCCTGACAGATGGTCCTGCTCTCAGTTGCCCGGCAACTCATGCTCCATTTTGCCTCTGAGCTTTTGCACAAGCTGTTCCCTCCATCTGAACACCTTTGCCCTCACTCTTCTTTTGGGGCTCAGCTCAGCCATCCCCACCTCTGGGAAGCCACGCCCTCCTCTCCTGCTTCCGTTTCTCCGGACAGAGCACTTACCACTGGGGGCGGGCATTGCCTGACTCTGGTCCCTATTCTCTGCTGCACCTCGAACTCTGTGAGCAGAAACTTTCTCTGACTTGACCAACGTGGATACCCAGAGGTTCAAGAGTACCATTTCTTGAAAAATACAGACCAGAGGGCTCCAGGCTGGACCGATATTCACTGGGCTGGATGGGTCCAGGTGTCTGCATTTTTACCCAGCTCCTCGATTCTGAGCACCCCTGACCCAAGGTCTAGTCCCATGCCTGTCATACCACTGAGTAGGTGCTCAGTGCTTGTTGAATGACTGCGTGATTTCTGCCCTTAAAACAAGGACACTGACTAACTCGGGTGCCATTTCCCTATGAGAAATGAGGCTGCTTGCTAGTGAGAACACGGGCAGGAGTATAACCCAAATCCTCTCAGGTTTGAACAGTGCTGGAGCTCCCCTGTGTTACCAGGGCCCAGTCCCTACCTCCGGGGGGATGCTGTCCTCCGAGTCGGAGCTGTCTTCGTAGACGCTGCCACCACCCCCCTCCAGGTTCATCTGCAGCAGCTGGTCGATGGTGGCGTCCACAGCCCCACTGTTGGCACGCAGCACGCACTCAATGATATCATAATCCATGTTGGGGAACATGGTCTTGAAGTCGTCCATGGCCTGGTTGAACTCGAGGCGGCGCACCTGCCGCGGGGGCCGACTGTTGTTGAGCTCCTGCGAGGAGGCCATAGCACTGCCCCCGGCCCCGCGAGCCCCTGCGGAGCCGCCCCCACCGCCGCCACCTCCGCCACCTCCACCACTGCTGCTCCGGCGGAACAGGCTGGTCATTTTGCCGAGCCGATGAGCGAAGGTGCTGCCCTCCGGGGCCAAGTCCCTTCCTCCTGGGCCCTGCGCCGTGGCGCAAGTGCTTGGTGGGGAAACTACTCCCGCACCTTCCCTGGCCCCTGAGCAGCCAGGTGGGGACCAAACCGGCAGGGTCCCTGCGTCAGGAAACTAGGGCACGGGGCCACCGGCGGCCCTCAGGCAGCGACATCCGGACCTGGACGGTGGCGGGGACTGGTTGGCTGGTCATCCACACCCCTGGGGCATCCTGGGGCAGGCTCCAAAGATGGTCGCACCTGAAACGGAGGGGAACAGAGTCAAGAGCAGAATGCAACAAACTGCAGCTCAGGGTGATGGCCAAGGGGATTAGGGAGACCCCTGCCACACCCAGGGGAGACTGCTTCCTTCTGCTTTCTCCAGCTGCAATAATGACAGCCCCAGTTGTTCAGTAACACAGGAGGGCTATGCCAGATGGCAAGGAAGGGCTCACTCTGTGCCTGGCCCCATGCTCTGTGTCGGCTAAGTCAAGCCACCACACTGAGGCAGGTGTTAGTGTCCCCATTTCTGAGATGGGAAGACTGAGGCATGGACACTAAGAAAGTGGAGTGTGGCCTCTCAGCCTCTGGTCTCAACCATTATACACACCGCCAGAGACCCCTGAGGATCTGACTGGGGTAAGGGGGGCTCTGTACAGGCGATGTGAGGCCTCCCCACTCTCCACCCCCATCCAGCCCTGCTTTCCTTGTCTTCCCACATCAGGGCCCCACTGTCCTGGTGGCACATCACAGCATCCAACCTGTGCAGACAGAGCTCCTCCACACATGCGACAGAGAACCATCCAGCCCACTCAGATCCGGGCACGTAAGTCACCGTGCAGGTCCCCGTTCTGCCGGTGTGGTCCGTTGAGAGTTGAATGTGCCTGAAACCATCACGCTCTGACTTCCTCGCACTTATCCCATGTTTTTACAGTAATTTTGCTAATTAGAGAAAAGTGGCAGCTTTATTTTAAGGGACTGTTCTATCCAAGGATATTCTTAAGTTTGATGAAACAGGTGTAAACCTGTTCTCCCTTTTTTAGGACTCGGGTCATACTCTGAACAGCTGATACAGAAATGTCCGTGTGAGCAAGTCAGTGTGACGCTCTCCCTTATCACCGTCTCAAGAGTCAGTGATGCAAGGAAGACGAGACCAGAGGGCTGAGGAAGGTTCTGTGTCGCTCCGCTCCCTCACCCCGGGGTCAGCACGCCCATCACTACCACTGATGTTCTTTGTCCCAATAGGTCAGCCCCCTCACAGGTAAGATAGGACTTCATGCCTCCCAGAGCCACCATGCTGAGATTCTAACCTCCGCCTCCTTGGAAGGACCTGGGGATTGTCCAGGGCTCATGCTCCGAGGCCTGCTGGGTGGGTGTCTGCCTAGTCCCAGGGAGGTGGGCTGGATTCAAGAATGGAAAACTAGAAGCACAGAGGCCCTACACAGCTCCCGCTCCCTGGTCTATATATAGTTCTGTGACACTAGAACTATAATCCCCTCCCACTTCTAGAGAAAACCAGTTAACATTCTGTTTTTTTTTTTTTAAGATGATACCTTGTCTATGCATATACTACCACATGTATAAATTTACTTTACTGAAATGTGATCAAAGCATAAATTCTACTTTGCAACTTGTATTTTCCACTTAATAATTTAGTACAGTCACCTGCCCATGTCAGAGCACGTCGATCTACTTCATCACTTTTAATGCCTGAGTAGTATTCTGTCGCCTGGGCGAGGGATGATTTATGTGTTGTTCAACCTCCTCCTCCCCATCACTTCCCAGATGAGCAAGTCGCAGCCCACAGACACCCAGCCATTTCCCAAGGAGACACAGAGGGAGGACCTCAGATGATGGGTCCCAGAGTTCTGTTACGAGAATGAACACAGGAAGGTTGCCGAGGATGACCTGGCCTCCCACCGCTGGCTTCAGACACCACTCGGCCCCACCCCCACCCCTCGCTCCACCCCAGCACTCGGAACGTTGGAGGATGTGCTCTGACTGCCGAAAGAATGCCCTCCACGATGGGGCTCCACCCTGGTGGCCGCCTCCATCCTGGGCTCTGACGCCTTCTCTGGGGCCTCTAACAAGGATGACAGGGCTGGGAGGCCCCAGAAACCAGTGCCCTGGGCTGCCACCTGCTGTCCTGGCGTCATCGCACACAGAGGTCAGTGCCGAGCGCTAATGCCCTCTGGCACCACCATCTCCCTGAGTGATTCAGTAAGAGACATGGAGAAACACAGCTCTCGTTTTTGCAAGAGGCAAAATTCCTTAGAGCAGGGGTGTCAAATTCATTTTCACCGGGGGCCACATCAGCCTCGTGGTTGCCTTCAAAGGGCTGAAATAATTTTAGGACTGTATAAATGTAACTACAGGACCTCACCCACCTCTGGTGGAGTGAAAAGGAAAGTGGTGGGGCCCCCATTTTCCCCATTAAGAGTCCTCTGGACCCATCCTCCTGGGCCTCGCTGAGTGTCAGGCAGCCCCGGAGAGAGATTCTCGCAGGCACACCATTAGCAGTCAGTGCACAGGTTCAGACCCAAGCTGCAATGCCTGCTGCCACTCCCTGGCTGTGGGACCTTGCACAGGTCTCTTCTCCTCTCTGTGCCCAATGCCCTCACCCATATGTACGGGCCTTCAATGGGAGCTGAACAAGATAATCCTCAGCCTGTGCCTGGAACATGATTAGCTCTGTGATCGCTGTTACCGCTGCCTCAGAAGGCTCTTGAAGAGCCAGGAGCAGTCAGTGCACTGGCCACACTGCCACCCAAAGTAGAAGAGGTGGCGCATTTTAAGGGCCCCTCCCCCACCATCAGGATGTCAACCTCTCGAATTCCCTCCAGAAGGAGCTGCCGGTCCTCAGAGCCCCCAGGGAGCCTGGCTGGCGTGGACAGCTGCAGACATGATAGGTCAAGATGCCTCACCCATTTACCGCAGGTGCACAGCCTTGCAAAGGTATTTGGTGTGTGCCATGACAGGTAAACGGCTGACAACTCCAAGCCAGCCCCATCCCCTGCTCCACAGTACAGATGAAGGGATGAGACGCAAGACTAGGAGGGAGTTGCCCAAGGACACAGAGCCAGTTGTGGCAAAGCCCAGACTTTTCCATCAAAGGGTGGTTCTGTGTGTGAGGAGAAAGTAGCTCAGACACAGTAATGGGGAATGCAAGGGGAAAGGATTTGATGTGCAGAAATGCCATTTCCAAAGGGCTCTGCAAGGCCTCCTGAGACTCATAGCCAAGCTGCCTAAAATTAGCACCAGGTGGGGCTGGAAGGCCCCCCACTTCTCAGAGAGTCATCCCCCTGCCCCTCTCAAGAAACTCAAGTGCAATCTGAGGCCAGGGCTGAGGTGTGGTATCGTGACGGGGACAGAGAAAAGGACTGTACTCAGGGTCAGGGTCATCTCTGTCCAGACTGCCTTTTGCAACCAGCACTGCTCAAATGAAAAGCCATTTAAACACAGGAAAGAATTAAGGCAGGAGATTTAAGCTGATGAGCTGTGCCGGGTGCTTTCACATTTAATCTTTTTTACAACTCCAGAGATAGACCTCTCCATTTTATCGCTGTGGGACCCAGTTCAGAGAACTTAGGTAACTGGGGCAAAGTCACACAGCTGGTGCATGGAGAGGCCAGAGTTAGGAACCTACTACTGAAAGTGCCTAGTCAGGCTTGCGCGGCTGAGAGCCAAGGAGCCTCAGAAAGGCAGCCATGTGTGCCCCAGGCTCAAGAGCTGGGCCCAGCCCGGCTGACATTCTAGCAGAGGAAATGTGACCCAGACAGCACTGAGGAAGGGAGGGGCAATGGGTGTCTCTTGGCTGTGCCCCAAAGCTGGCTCTGTGACCTTGGGGAAACCACTTCACCTCTCTGAACCTCAGGTGCTGGGCACTGGCAGGGAAGCGGATAACCCTGACTGGCCCCCGAAAAAGGAAGTGAACCGAAACCACGGAGCCCATTAGACAGCTTGAAGGCTGACTCAAAGGTTCTCCTGAACTCACAGTTGTCGGTGGCTCGGGGGCTGGAAAGCAGAAATCCCACACCTGTCCTCCCCCAGGCCCCAGAGAGCCAGGCCTTTCACTTCCCAGTAAAGGAATCCAGGCCTGGCAGGTCGTGGCAAATGGCCAAGCTTCACTCCAAGCCTGAGCAGGCAGCCAAGGCCTGAGTCACTCCCTCCTGGCCAGGAGCGGAGGGCGAGCTGCCCCAGTGTTGTTCTCTTGACCTTGTCCAAAGTCATCCCGGCCAGTCTCCTACGGGGCCAGTAGGGCCCACCAAGGGGGATGTGAGAGCCCTGGAGCCAGAGTCGTGGGTTCTACTCTGACCGAGCCTAATAAGATTATGTGACTTGGAGAAGTTATTTCCCTTCTCTGAACCTCAGCTTCTTCGTTTGCAAAAATACAGATAAGACCTACCTGGCAGTGGTGTTGTGATAAAATTATAGGGTGCCTGAGCATAGTAAGCACCCAATGAGATAGGCTGGCGTAACCTCAGCCTCAGGCCTTAGCCCTTTCCCTGGACCACACTCACACCCTGAGCAATGTTATCCGGTCCCGTGGCTTTAAATACCATCTCCACCCTGGGTGCCGGCCCCCAAATGCTCTGGCCTTGAGGTCTCTGGGAACACAGCATTCAACTCTGCACTTAGCCATCCGACATGCTGCCTCCACCTGGGTGTTCAGTAGCAGCTCCAGCAGAGCAGGCCACCCGCCGTTGTGACGTCTTCCACCCCAGCCTGCTCCTCCTGGCCTTCTCCACCTCTGTTCATGGCAACTGCACGTAGTGCAGGCCAAACACTCGGGAGTCATTCCTGAGCGCTCACATTCTCTCACACCCGCCCCACGCCCAAGGGCCAGCGCTTCCCTGCCCCACCCCCACCTCATGCATCTGAAAATGGATGGAACTGCCCCAGGCCATCTGTGTCCCTATACACCCTGGGCTTCCTTCTCTGAAAATCCCCCGAGGGACAGGAACACAGGACAGATAGGATCTAGTGATCCCCCTGACACTGCTTTCATCGCAGCCTGCAAAGGGACTCGCTGTCTCTCCTCACAGACCTGGGCAGGGGCCAGTGCCCCGACGCCAGGCAACCAGGTGGTTTCCCGGGGCGCAGGCCAGGGCTGCTGCTAAGGAAAGGGCCAACAGAGCCTCTTCTCTCTCGGAACCCAACAGCCTGCCCCACCCCCTCCCTTGGCCTGACTAAAAGGGAAAGGAGCCACCCAACCCCCCCAGGGGTCTTAGAACCCAAGAGTCCAGAGTTTCAAAATAATC